GGGAGAGGACGGGATGGGCACCTTGGAGATGTGACCCAGCCTCCTTCTCTTCTCCACTCCCCATTCCTCTCCACCCCTCCCTCCCCTCTCCTCCTCTTCTCTTCCCCTCTGCCTTCTCTCTCTCTCTCTCTCTCTCTCTCTCTCTCTCTCTCTCTCTCTCTCTCTCTCTCCCCCCCTCCCCCCACTCTCCCTTTCTCTCTCTCTGCCTGGAGTCTCTCGCCACTTTTCTCCCAGCAGAAGGAGGAGCCCCAGCGAGAACAGGGGGCAAAGTACTCGGCGGAGACTGGGAGGATCATCCCTGCTTCCACCCGAGCCCTCGGCCTTCGCCACTCCCGCAAGGGCCAATGGAACGGCCCTTCAGGCAGAGACGGAGGCGTCCAGGCCTTCATCCTGCAGAACCAGGAGCTGCTGGTGAGCCCCTGGGAAGGCTGGTGGCTGCGGCCCTGCAGAGGCCTGGTGAGGGCAGACAACAGGGAGGTGCCACTCCCAGGCTCACAGCAATCCCAGCTATGACTCTTACAAACTGCTGTGAAGTGTGGCTTCTCCCAGGGACACTGGCATCTAAGACTGTAAGACTTGCAAACCCAGACCTGGGAGTCAGGAGCCTGGATTCTAATCTCCTGCTTCTTCCAGGTTTCTGTGTAAGCCTTTCCCTCTCTGTAAAGTCCTTCCCCCTCTTGGGGCTTTAGTTCCATCATCTAGCCAAACTGGGAACCTGAACACGTTATCACGAAGGTCTGTTTCAGCTGTAGCACTTGGTACGCTAATGAAGGGAGCTACAGTGGTGGAGTGAAAAACAGGGAGATGAGGGTCCTGCCTAGTGTATCCTCAGGCCACACCCCAGTATGCTGCACCCTGCAGGCTGCAAGGCTGGTTGCAGCCTGGTGTCCCCACACTTTGAGGGGGGTCTGGTCTGTGCTACGAAAAAAGCACAAAGCCCACCGCCTCCATGTTCAAGTTTCCTCATCAAGGCCTGAGATGTGTCCATGGCTCATTCCGGTGGGTTAAGTCATTGAAAGTTCCTGATAAAATGCACATATATTCTCCAGGAAAGGCCAGACAATGGGCCAGCATCTTGACACTTTCCCTGTGACCAGTGCTTTCAAACATGCAGTCCCTTTGCAGCCTTACAACAGTCCAGTCAAGTGAATAGAGCAGACAGGACCCAGGATCCCCATTCCACAGATGGGGTAGGCTGACGCCCTGCCAGATGACATTCTGTGGCCCAGGTCCCGAGAGGGAGCAGCATAGCTGGGACTAGACCACAGTACTTTCTTCACCATAGGGCGGCCTCACCTTGCCGGGAAGTAGGTTCTCGGGTTCCGTGGGGAGGGGGCACAGGGCAGGTAAGTTGGATTCGGGGAATGGAGAAGGACCCGGGGGCAGAGCAGGGGTGGGATCACCATGGTGAGTGGGTACCTGGGGGCAATGCTGAGCACCCTAGCAGGCAAAGGCCTGGGGAGAAGCTTGGCCCAGGTCCCCTCTGATCTCCACTGGTTCAAGTGGGGTCTCCTGAAAGAGGGAACTCCATTTTCCTAGGACGCCAGGTGCTCCACCTTCCATCGAGGGCTCCAGCTCCACCCAACCATAGCCACAGCCACCGTCGGCATCCCGGCCTAGGGCGCCCCCATAGCCCATCCAAGACAGAGCTGGATCTTTTCCCAATGATCCTCGACTGGAGAACGCAGGGGGGAAAGGGCCTTGAAGCAGCAAAGATGGCAAAGGCTGAGGATGCAGCTGGAAGCCAAGCAGTCACACTGCTCGGTGGGAAGGGGCCCCACGCTGAGCAGTTTGCAGAGCCTGCCAGCCCCAACCCTCAGGCTGCCCACTGGGATCATTCCGCCTCTTTGCTAACATATCCAGACTCCGGACTTGGGAACTTTAGGGTGGGGAGGCCCACGGGGTCCCTGAAGTCCCCACACCGAGGACTTGGGCATTCGGAACTGGCCAGCTTTGACTTCCCTTCCCAGTGAGGGACTTTGGGGTACAACCAGCCCAGGCAGGGCTCAAGGATGAGGGGTCCACATTTCTGATTCTGAGGGTTACTTCTGCCACCGTCTCCCTGCTAGGTGTCCTCCTCTCTCCAGGCCTCGTATTTTTCACCTGCCCAGTGAGGAGGTTAAGAATCTTCCTCCAAGGCCACTGGGAGAGAAAGCCCTCTAAAAAATGTCAAGTCCCACACAGACGGGAGCCAGGGACCATCGTGGGGACCAGTTTAGCCAAGCGTGTGGCTCTGGGAGTCCACTTTGGGGGGCAGGCACCTGTGCTGCTGGCTGGAACATGCCTTCCAGCACACTGACCCAGACCTGTCCTCCTGTCCACAGATCTTGGAGCTTCTTTGTCAGATCCTGCAAACAGACTCCTTAAGTGCTATTCAGTTCTGGCTGCTCTACGCTTCCCCAAAGGGTGAGACACAGCTCCTCCTCTGAGTGGAGGCTGTTGAGGGCCCTGTCCTCTGGCTCTGCAGTACTCAGATGCCACTTGGCTCCATCCCAGGGCCTTCTTCCTGGGCCTCTTCTCCTTTTTGGAGGCCCCAAATTAACCTTTTCCAGCTGAACAATGTCACTGCTCCCTCCTCCCAGTCCCCAGCTGGATTGCATGGCCCCACTCCTCAGAGGGGACCCCTCTTCCACTCTAACCGCAGGTCTCAGCACCTGGGAGAGAGAAGTCCAAAGACCAGGCTTAACAGACACAGCCCCTCACCCACAACTGTGGGAAATGCACACACACACAGATGCAAATACACACACATAACACACAGGCATACACACATGAACACATGAATGGACATACATGTCCACACCGGGACCATGGGTAGAGAGTATGTCTAAGTGGGAGTGTGAGGAGTGATGACAGCCAGAGAGCTGAATGGAGAAGGCTTCCTGATGGAGAGAACGAAGGGGGAGAAAGAGAGGTGCCAGGCTTGCCAGAGAGGGCCTGGGGGTATGGTGGGCAGGCGGGCCAAGAACAAGGTATACACATGGGAGGTGTGGAAGGGCTGGGCTCACTGCACACACAGGGCGAGGAGAGAAGTGGGATCTCCCCATGGGTCCCTGTGGGCAGAATGTGAGATGGTGAGAGAAAGCTGTCCTGGGCCAACATTGGGCCAAAGAGCTGGAGGTCCTGCTTCCTGACTGTCCCATCTAAGGACAGGATGGGGACTGGGGTCATGCTCCTGAGGAATCTGCCCCGTGGCTGTGCTTACAGAGAAAGACTTGGCACTGAGGCTCCTGCAGATAGCGGTGGCTCAACTCCTTCCCCAGGCTCTAGTCTCCCTCCCGACAGAACAACTCTTGAACCAGCTCTAGGAAGTCCAAGGACCACCTCAAGAAAGGGAGCAGCCACCCTACAGGTGGGCTTCGCACCCCTCCCTGCCCCTCTGTTCCCAGAACTGCTCCTTCGTGTCCAGTACTGTCCTCCCAGGTGAGGTGAGTGGGGCCCAGAGAAGGGAACCTGGTGTTGGCCAGAGCCTGGGCTGACAGCCTGACCTGGAGGAAGAGGTCAGGCCCGCCCCTGGGGCCCTCCAGTGCTACTCACACTACTCAAAGGCCCACTCTGCCAGACCACACTTCGGTGGCCAGCTGTGGGGCTGCCTGAGGGGGTGACCTGTGTCGATTGTAGCAAGACAGGGCTGGAGAAGCCATAGCTAGCCCTCCAGAAGCTCTTGGTCTTTGGGAAGACACAAGGAGAGAAGGAATGTTAATACAAGGCGGGCGGCCATTGCTTTATGTCAATATTAAGGGCCCTGGGTGGCTGGAGAGAAAGAGATTCATCCCCAGTTGGGGAAAGAAAAGGTGAGGGGATGCCTCCTGAAGCAGGTGAGTGGGGCCTCACAGTCAACACTGGAACCTGCAGTGTTGAGTGCCCACCATCTCTGCCTGGCACCTCTGGGTGCTTTACATATTTCAAGTCCATGCAACCACCCACGAAGGCAGCAGTACCTCCATCTTACAGATGAGAAAACTGAGGCTCAACACAGTTGAACAACCCAAAGTCTCCTGGCTGGTCAGCATAAGAGCTGGGATCAGACTTGGGCCTGTCTGATTGATAAGCCCAGCAGTGCTCAGATTCACAGGGAGCTTGTTAAAAGTGCCAATTCCATGAGAGTCTAACACAGGAAGTAGGGTGGGTGGGGGCAGGCACAATCACCCCAGTATTTCTGATGGAGCTTGGGGATCACTGCTGGGGTGGATAGGATTTGAATGAGCAAAGAAGGTTGGGGAGTGTCAGGAATGGAATGTGCACACTTTAGAGGATGTTAAGTCTTGGGGTGGTTGGAGCATGGTGGGCTTGGTGAGACGTGGGGTGAGGTGCTTGTGCTTGCTTAGATTTGTTGAAGGCGTGGGTGCTTGCTCTGGCTCTGTATTTGGGGTTTTTTTTTGTTTGTTTTTTTTCCACTTTGAAAGGCCAGAGGAGGCACAGAAGGAAAGCAGACTTCACTGTGACCTTGGTCAAGCCACCTCCGATTTGTGAGCCTCCGTTTCACCTCTCAAAAACCCCTCTCCCAGAGCTGTAGGCAGGACAATTTACATCTGGTGCATTAAAAGGCTTGCTGAAGTGTAAAGCCAATACAAGATAATGTAAGAGCATTATTCATGCCTGTAATTCATTAGGAAAGCAGGGTTCTTGTCTTCCTCACTCACAGGGCAAGGCGTCTGGTCTGAGACGAAGCAGGAGGCCAAGAGAGGGCCTGGGGGTAGGCTGGTATAGTGGCCTCCCCACAGGTCCCGGGACAGGAGGGCCTCGCTTCCCTGTGGCCACAGCAGGCAATGGAGTCACAGTTGTTGAGGTCTTGCTTGGGGTGGTACCAGCTTGCTGGTTCTCCAGGAGGGTCGGCTCCTGCCTCTCCCTGGAGCACCTTCCTCATCTCCCTGCCCACCTTGCTGCTCTGCTGTGTGTGCTCCAGCCTGACCTGCCTGAACCTTTTCCGCTTTGTGTTGGTTACAGCCAATCCCCAAAGAAAACAAAGACACCACCGCTACCAAAAAGCGAAAGACCCGGTAAGATTCCATGCAGCAGGTCACTGAGGGCTCACCGAGGCCCACCCTGGCTGGACCCCTCGGGGGATTCAAGGCTCCTTAGAGATAGGTCTCTGCCCAAGGAAGTTGCTCATTTCATCCACTCATCCATTCACTCATGCAGTCTTTCAACAAAAACTTATTTAGCACCTAGGTGCCAGGCTCTGGGGAAGAATGCCAACAAGTTCCTGCTGTCGTGGGGCTTGCGTGCTAGGGAGGAGGGGTGCAGACAACAAATAAAAACACCTGAGGAGGACAGGTGCTGTAAGGAAAATAAAGCAGGGTGATGTAATAGACAGAAGGACTGGCGAGGTGGGGAGAAGACACCTTGAGCTGAACAACAAGAAGGAGTCAGCATTATGCAAGGCTCCCACCTGCCTATTTGCGAAGGAGCAAGCAGACCAGCATGACCCGGGACTGTGGATTGGGAATAGTGTTAAGAAATGAGATGAGACAGGTGGACAGGGTTGGCCTGTAACAAAGGCCAGGTGTGTGGTCTCATGCAGCGCGCATGGGGGTGCACTGGAGGGCTATAAGCAGGGTGTGGCAGGACCCTTCTGGCTGCTGTGTGGAGAATGGACTCTTGAGGGCAGCAGGGGATGAGGGAGATAAGAGAGGCTGCAGCTGCAGTCATCCTGGTGCCTCAGACCAGGGCAGGGGAAAGTGGGGGCGGTTGGACGGGCGAGAGGAAGACAGGTATCTGCCATGTGCATTATTCTCCCCCCGCTAGACTGTAAAGGGTCCTGAGTGGCTGGTGGAATGACTACATAGAGTAGGCGCTTCATAGATATTTGTTACCTGGATGTAGAAAGAAGAGGGTGATGGTGAGGCTCAGAGGAGGGAGTCAGCTCTTCCCAGTCACCAGAACCCAGGGTAGAAAAGCTGGGTTGATTCTGGCTCTCACACACCTCCCTCCGCTCTTGCACATAAACCTGGGGCTTTTGGGGGGAGAGGGGTCCACCCAGGTCTCCTGGGCAGCTCCCAGGTAGAGGCCCAACCCCTCGTCATCCTCTCCTGCCTGCTCTGTCTCCCCTCCTCCCAGAGCACATTGGAAAAGCACAAGTCCTCCGGATGCATTCAAGCCAGAACACAGACGAGAAAGCGCCAGAGCCAAAGGCAGAGTGCTGAGGCGTCAGCGCTGCCCTGCCCGCCTTGCTCAAGAGCCTGCCCAGAGTTCAGGCTTGTTTCCACCCCTACCACCTCAACAGCAATATGTACTTTCCTATAACATAGAATCTATTAAAATACCAACTTCTCTTTAGGAGGACAGTTCCACTCTCCTGTCAACACCAGTCTGTGCTTGGGTTGTTTATTCCTGGACAGGGTGAGCTGCATCGAACCATCCCCACTCCCTTGCAGCACGCCCAAGTGCCACCACCCACGTGGGGCATACCTGGTTCTTTTATCATCCAGGGAATTGAAGGGCAGATGGTGGTTTGTGTGGCCTGAGAAAGGGGCTCTGCCCTCCTTGAGCTAAGACACATAGGGCTCTGAATAGGTTAGAGCAGAGGTCAGGAGCTCACAGGCCTCCTTAAAAATAATCATGGATACCCATTTTTGAGTTCCTACCAGGCACTGAAGCAGGGTAGCAGCTAATGAGGAACATTATTAACGGACTCAAGAGAGTCAGGAGGCTTTGGCTACAAATCAATGACAAAGATTTACTCAAGGTGTCTTAGGGTTTGCAGAGTGGAAACACAACTAAGCAATGCCCAGGATATTCCCAAGGAGAAAGAAAAGCTGATGGTTCTTATAGGAAGAAGTACACTCAGGTCTTCATTCTTAGCCCCTGGATTGGTCCATGATGGTATTCTCCAGGAGTCTGGTGGTCTAGACAATGGGACGTTTTCTTTTGAGGTCATTCAGGAATGTTAATGCTTGAGGTATGTCCAGGCATTAACACACAAAGCACTGACGTGCATCCAGGTGTTGACACAGGACTGGAACGCTCAAGTTCTCAGAGTCCGTGAAAACAAGAATAATCATTTCCTTGGGCTCAGACTCCCTAATTTTGATAATTCAGCAGCTTGATGATAATGTCTCCATTTTACTTCTTCACTCTGTTCTTCAAACACTGTGATTTTTTTCTACATACTTCTTTACGTGGTACTATGTTTGATTCTCCCAAAAGCTCTATGAGGTAAAGTATTCATGTTATCACTCCCATTTTAGACATAAATAAACGGAGTCTCAGAAAGGTGAAATCACTTGTCCAAAACCACAGAATAAGTGGCAGAGCCTGGATCCAAACACCACATGTCTGGTTCCAGGATCCCCACTGTACTCTACTGCCAGCTGGGAGGGGGCGACGTGCCTATTAGCAGTTCTTCCATCTCCATCTGAGATGCTCTTTACCCCTAATGGGAGATAAACACCAGGTGTTATAGAGCCCAGCTGGGCACCTCCAAACCCACAATCCCTTTTCCACTAGATCGGGGGAAACCCGTGAGGTCTTTAGTCTTCTCTTTGCCCAGCTTTTATCATCGCACCACTTTCAGGGAACAAAGCACGGTGTTCATTCCTAGAGGTTTCACTCAGTTCGGCCTAAATTGCTGCATCTCTAGGTGGATGTTCCTGAACCTTCCCAGGTTTCTATATTAGTGACTCATTCCTCGCTATTTTTATTTCCTTTGGGCCATTGCAATATGCAAAAGGAAATAAAAACAACAACAAAGATGCTGTAATAGTCAGTGGGTTTTAATTTTTGCTGACTTGGTTGTGAAGGAATAAAAACCTGAACAGGATAAATGCATGAAAATCAACCCAGATTGAAAAAATCATATGCAGCCCTGCCATTCATCTGGCTGGGGCACAGACACAGGCGAAGCCAGCTGCAAAGTTAACAGAAAATGCTGCTTATCCCCAGGTCCTCCAGCAGTTATAAAATGCTATAATCCTCTCTTTGAGTGACGGTTGCTTTCTTACCAATGAGACCCCCAAAGCCGTGTGGCTTTTTGATTTATTCCTCAGGATATCCAATAGCTAAGCCGCCCTCGCCTCCTACAGCACCTGACCCCATCCCCACTTTCCCTAATCCTGGCTCAGAAACGGTTGCAATCCAGGCCCCTGCTTCCCTTGGGCCCGTCCAGAACCCTTCAGAAAAGCCTTAGAAAAGACACGCCCCTCCACCCCGCTGCCTCATTCATCCCATGGCTCATCACTGCACCAAGTCAATACATTTGATTTTGTTAGAAATCAAGGCTTGGCCTCTGTGATCTTCGGCTATTTAGCCTTTAAGAGCTGCTATGAAATTGACACAGCCCTGCTCTGTTTTATCTGTTCAGCTCAGCGTTTGTTTGCCATCAGAGATAGTTAACCCAGGGTAATGATTCCTTAGCTGCTTTCTTCCAGCCAACAGGAAAGGAACAAAATAGTGCGTATTAGCAGCTCTCCCAGGTCTGTCCACCTCTTCTAAGATAGGGGTGGGCCTCCAAACATGGCTGCGCATGCAGGAGGGTGGGCAATCGTCCAATCCCAACCATGGACAGCACTCGGGTGAAGGGCCAATGATCAGTGTGCACATCCCAGGGTCTCCCCCCAATCCCTGCCAGGGAACAGCCATGGTGGCACTTGGCCCTGCCCCCAGTGAGTTGTCTGTCCCTGGGCAAGTCCCTCCTCTCTTTGGGCATAGGGTCACGTCTCAGCTCCTCACACCCCTTCTCCCTACCTGGATAGTCCGCAAGTCGAAGTTCAAACTATATAATAGGTGGGCTTCCCCAAATAAAAATCACTAAAATTGGTTAAAGCCTTTTGATGTCCTGGGCACTAGGCTTAGCATTCTATACATATCCCATTTAGGTGAAGAAACTGAGGCAGAAAGAGGTTAATTTGTTAGGACTAGTAAGGGGCAACCCATGCATTTAATCAGCACAGGATACTTTCCCTAAGCATCGTGGAGAAGTCAAAAAGGGACGGAGGCACCCAGAGGGAGGTGACTCCCCTCAGTCACACAGGCAGAACCCAGTTCCCCTGGTGCCCAGGCCAGTACCCTCTCCTGGCCTCTCTTTCTAGAGCTGCTAACAGTGATCCCTCAAAACTTGTCTAGCCAGGGCAAATGGAGGGCTCTCCTTATAGGGTCCTGGCCCTTTAAAGTAACCTGACCTGGAGCTGCACATCCCAGACTTGAAGAGAAAGGGGAAGAAGAGTGAGAGAAGGGGCTCCAAGAAAAGTTGCTTGTGCTGGCAGCCCTGGGAAGGTCCAGCCCATCCCACCTTGGTCCAGCTCAGCAGACTAGAGCTGGCATGCGGCCGGAGGAGAAAACCCAGACCACTGAAAAATTTCATTAGAGCCTTGCAGTATTTATTTTTTTGTTAACATATAAAATTCAGGATTTAGGGTTTCTTTTGAAACATCAGAAGCTATGGAAACACTGGATCCTGTTCTGCCTGGCATAAGCTCTAATTCACCATAGTCTCCACCCTCATTTACAAGATTTGCTTGACGTCTGAGAGCCTGACCCTGGACACACACACTGTCCATCTGTGGCATGCCTAGCTTGTCCATGTCCACTCCCTCAGCTCTCCAGCTCCCACAGCCCCTTAGCTCTGCATCCACATCCTTGAGACCCTGAGACAATCTGACCAGGCTCTTGGCTGGAACAATTGCCCAATGAGCATTTAGCTCAATCGCTTATTTTATAGAAGCTGAGCCCTAGAGAGGGGAAGGTTTTGCCTACAGTCACGGATCAGAGAAAATCCTGTGAGAAGTATATTTTGTTGCATTCTTTTTTTTTTTTTTTTTTTAAAGATTTTTATTTTATTTTATTGGGGAATTGGGGGGGATGGGAACAGTGCTGGGGAATTGGGGGAAGGGGAACAGACAAGTTGCTGTCATTTTTGTTCTTCAGTCTAGTTGTGGAGGACGTTGCTTCACTGGCCCAAGTTGGCACCATCATTGCGCTCTTCCTGGGTGAGGCAGATCAGTTGCCGGCTTCTGGACGGCCGCTCACTGCGGCTGCTGGCCGCTCACGCTGGCTGCTGGCTACACACGGTAGCCCATGGCAACCCACTGCCACAGGGTCTGCAGCCTACGCCATCGCTGGTGACTCATGGCAACCCAGCTCCAGGTTGAGCTGTTGTTCAGCATCTTAGCTGTGGAGGGCAGTGTCACTGGCCCTCATATGTGGGATCCGAACCGGGGCCCTCTGGCATCCCAAGCGAGTTCTTAACCATCGCGCCACTCGGCCGGCCCTATTTTGTTGCATTCTAAACTACAGAAAGTTAGCAGTGGGAGATCCAATTCCACTCACGCAAAAGGTGTTGATTGACAGCTTAGTTTTCATCCAGTAGCCAGGAGTACTGTGCCCTGACCACAGGTCAAGTTCTGCAGTTACTGGACAGAGTGGACAGGTAGACTTGTGGCTTTAGAACCAGGCTTGGCCACTCCCCGTGTGACCTTCTGCAGTTACTTTATTACTCTGAGTCTTGGCTTCTGCTTTTGCATGAGTACTGTTCCCAGCATTAGATTTAATCAGCCAGTGGATTACCTGGGCTCTTACTTCAAATCTTAGGACCTCAAGCCCTTTTCTTTTTACAAACACTGTCACTTACCAGATAACAAAGGCTGTCCTACATGTGTAATTCCAGGTATGTGTTTTGTCAACTGCATAATCTCCCCTCAGCTGCCTAGAGATTGTCCCTACCCTTTGCTAGCTGTGTGATTTTAGGCAAGTGACTCAATCTCTCTGAGCCTCAGTTTGTCTGTGAAATGGGGATAATAACAGCACCAACTCCATGGGGTGGCTGTAAAAATTTAGTGATATTAAGTGAAGAGCATAACACAGTGCCTGATACATAGTATGTGCTCAGTAAAGGTGAGCAATATATTCTCCTATGCTCAAGCACCCATTTCCAGAAATTAATCTAGAATGAAAGCCACAATACTATCATAACACCTACTTTCTTGACCACTTTTAATACAAGGGACAGGCTAATACAAAGGAGTCTTGTGACCACTCTCCCATACTATCTTCACAACTGCCCCTCCCTTTTCCCCTCCCCAAAAAGGATCAGGCCAGGGATGGTTTTCCCTATCTTGCAGGTGACAGATAAAGTGAGGCACTAATCATCAGACACGAAGACAGACAGGCAAAGCTGGGCTAGAACCTGGGTATTCCGCCTCCCAGACCAGCGTTCTATCCCGGCACCCTGCTGACCACTTGAGTGAGATGATCAACTGAGATGATGATTAACAGAAGGCCATTTGAATGGCCTAGGCTTTGGGAGACATCATTATGAATGCCAAGTCTTGCCATGCAGACAGCAAATACAAAAAGTTCTGGTAATGTCTGTTTGGATGCCCAAGACTTCTGTGTTTTGAGAGAAGATGAAAACCAAAGTTTTTAATATTTGACCTGTAGTACTGTTACACCATGGGAGAGACAAAAGTCTCTTCCAGAACAACTTTTCTGGAAGGCCATTGGGAATACATATCAAGTGCCTTCAAAATGTGGTTTGGGTATATTTTTCACTCTGATTGACTTCTGGAAAGGTCTCCTAAGAAAAATCAGATAAGCATGAAAAGGTTTACCTTACATCATTTTTTATATCACATTTTAGAAATGACCTAAATTTATAGTACAAGGGGATTTGGTTAAATGATCACCTAGCCATACAACGTGTACTATGTGTCATTATAAATGAAGATGTGGCTGACAGATTTCAGGATGGAAAGACATCCATATCGTTGCCAGGGCAGTGGGGGATGGGAGCATCGGTATGCGTTTCCACGTGTTATCCCTGCCCCAAGCAATGTGCCAGGGCCGCTGTTAGAGCCAGGCTGCTGGGGCTCTTAGAGGTCGCATTCTGCCCATATGACCCACCATGGCAAGGACTGCACTGCGCTAAGGGCATGTGTCCACCTGGGGCCCACAATACCCCTCTTTGCAGGCCTCTGAGTACCCGGGCCCACAGAATTTCCTGCCTGAACAGTCCTAAGTGCTAGCATCTCCCTAGGTCAGTCCCCATAAGGTGTGACTGGATTACTGTGTGTGCACCTTTAGGCCCAAGTGGCAGCTGTTTAAAAGGGGTAGTGCCCAAGGGGAAGCTGTTTGTAGAGGAATGTAAATGGAGCTTGGATTTGAGGGCTAGATTGCCCTCAGCCACGTGAGGTCCCTGGAAGGGTTCTCTGTGCCCTTGTCCTGGGCCCCACAAATGTTAGAGAGGAGCCTGTGATACACGAATCCATATACTCGGTAGTGGATTAGTGATGTCTGACAGAGCAAGGGGTGAGGCATAAATGGGTATTTTTAAATTGCACAGCACATGTTTCACGTCAGGCCCTCACTGCCCAGGAGATGCATCACAGTCCTTCCACCGCCTGTCCAGCATCTATGTTCTATTCAGACTTTTCCAGGGAAAGAGTGCTCACCACCTTCCAAGGAAGTTACCCCTTGCATGTTCAAAGAGCTTTGCTACTAAGAATGGTTCTTTGCTATGTGACCCCAACAACTACATCCCAGGCACTTGTACCAAATTGGACCAAATTCTGGATGGTGACTTGCCCAAGGCCCCAAAGCCACATAGCTACTTGGTGGCAAAGTCTGAGTGACAGCCCCCAGCCCCACAGCCATGTTCTTACCTCTCCACCCCGAGTTGACACTCAGAGGAGCTCCACAGCCAGTGGAGCGAAGGCAGGGAGACTGAGGGCAAGTCTTCTTGTGGTTCCAGCCTCTCCCTGTCCACTCCCCACCCCCAATCATCTTGTGACAGCCCAGCCCAGCACATTAGAGCTCTGCCTTCATTGTCCCTGTCCCTGTCCTCTAAAATAGACAAGAAAAACACAACACAACATTTGGGGGTCCAAAACAAAGCACCAAGGACAATGTTAATAAATACATAAAAATTTAAAGATCTGGATCTCAAAGGCACAGAGTTTACACCCCTTAACACAGGCAGGCTGGGTCTCAGGAATGATTCAGTGTGTGCCCCAGTATCCAGGGAGGGGCGGGCAGCAGGTGGACAGGGCACCTGGGAACCCCATCTAGGGAGGGCTCTCTTCTCCAGGTGCGTGCAGGCTGGCCCACTGCTCCTATTCCTCTAGGCTGGCTCAGAACAGCCCCTTGCCCCTGGGAAGGAAGAACTGGCAAGCACCTATGTCACCTGCTGAGGAATCGGGGAGACCCTCTGCACGACTTGGAGTGAGGACCCCTGGGATGGATCTGGGGGATTCAGATGGCTTGAAGAGAGCCAGAGGGTCTAGGGAAATCACCTGCCCTTGGAGGTAGCAAGGGGGGCAGTCTGAGGCCCCCATAGTGCTGTGGGTCAGTGCCTCCTCCCCACTCCAGAATGGGGCAGAGGCTCACATCCTGTCTTGGGTGGCCCTTGTCATCTCCACGGCCCGACTTTAAATAGACTCTGGTCCTCAGCCCTCGGTCATGCACACCCCCAACACCACCACCACCACCATCAGCACCACCATCTGGCCCAGCTTGAGTCACGTGGGGAAAGAAGACCCCTGACTCCCGCAGGAATGGTCTTGGGTGGAAGGCAATGATTGACAGGGCACAACCTGTGTCTCACAAAGACCCCTTCCAGGCTGGATCCTTTCCTACCCCCAAGTGAGGACAAAGTTGCCATTTCTGGTCCAGCCAGGGCTCTAGCACCAGTTGGGAAACGCCTGGATAAGGAGGATACCTGTTCTAGAGTGTCCAGAGCTCCCTTCTTGGATGGGCTGGGGTGAAGCTGGGAGGCCCATCTGTAACCTGGAGGCCCCAGAAGTAATAGCAAGTGCTGTCTGCAGGGGCGAAGGTGGCCACCAACACTGCCCTCCAGCCAGTGAAAGCAAGCTGGACTCTGCGCCTTGGCCTTGGCTGCAGGAGCTGCATGGAACTCTCGCTACAAAGAGCTGGGCCTGAGATGAACTTGCTTCCTACTCACCTCAGCCCTGTAACCGAAGCCTTATGACCACACTTACCCCCAGCTCCCTTTCTCTTGGACTGCCCTGCAGGCACCCCCCTCACCTTCCCTGGCTCTGCTTTGCCTCTCTGGGCAGAGGAGCCAGGTAGATAAGGCCTCCACAGGAATCCCACAAATTCTGGTGAAGGCAGGCAGCAGACAGGTCTAGTATGGGACCCAGTGGCTGTGAGGAGGGGTTGTTAGCTGGCCCTCAGTCCTGGCAGGGGAGACAGACAGGAGCCCTGAGAGGTTCACCTCGGTCTCCTGGGCTGCTTGCTGAGGTATGTTGAGTTAAGGCTTTCCCTGATCTTTTTCTTCCTCGCACACCCACTCCATGGGTGAAAAGTATCACAGCCCCAAACTAGAACAACAAGAAGGCAAATAATTTAAAAGGAAGTCTGTGGTTGTCCCTGCCCCACGGTGTGTCCTCTGAGCTGGGGGTCTTGGGGCACACAGAGTGTAAACTTGACTGGCGGGATTGGCAAGGTAGGGCTCATGTCACTGGGGAGGTGGCAGGAAGGCTGGTGCCTGAATGTTTCGGGTCTTCCCTGAGCTGCTCTTTATCCTCTGAGGCCGCTGTAGGTGCACCAGTGGTCCAGCCCCAAGGCAGCAACTGGGTGGTGCTAGCAGAAGTGCCCTTCAATGCTCCAGGGCTGAGTTTCTGGGGAGCGAAGTGGTGCTGAGTCACTGGGGGGAGCGTGCCCAGTGGTCCTGGGAGCTGTGTGGGTCGGCCATGTGGATGGTTGGTTGAGCCCATTGGCCCCACAGTGAGTTCAACAGCACCTTTGGGGGCCTTGGATCCTGGTAAGGGGCTCCCAGGAGTAGAGAATGGTGATGGTGAGGCCAGAGTGGGTTCCGGGCTGGCGTCAAGGCCTGAGGACTTCTTGGTACAGGACTCACAGCACAGCCGGTGGTAGCCGGGGATGGAGCAGTAGCGGTCAAGCACTTCCATCTGGCAGAAGATGGACCTGTCCCCCACGCAGGGCTCTGCTGCACACACAGCACAAGGACGGATGCTGGGAGGGTGCCCATCAGCCAGGTGACGTCAGGACACAGCCCCCACCTCCCACTCAGCCTGTCAGCTGCAGGCCCTTCGTCTCCTTCCCTGGCTGAACTCACTATAAAGCTTTTTCCCAGAGGGTTGCCTGACAGGAGAGACAGGACGAAGAAGCAGCTGTTTTTATGTGGAAGGGGGACTAAAATCCCCTGGAGCGTCCTCATAGCAGCAGCAACAGCATCACCTGAAGCTCGTTGGAAATGCCACTTCTCAGGCCCCATCTAGACCTCCTAAATCAGAAACGCTGGGGTGGGGCCCATCCCTGTGTTCTAACAAGACCTTCAAGGTGATGCCCATGCATGGGAAACTCTGAGAACCATGGCTCTACATTGAGAGTCATCAGACTTGGCTGCCAGTGGGGATTACCTAGGGAGCTTTATGTAGTCGCTTAATAGCTGCTGCCCATCTCCTACACCTAGGGAGACTGGGCGGTCTGGGTGTGGCCTGGGGACTGGGTGATTCTGAGCTGCAGCGGAGTTTGAGAACCCTCGCCTGCTCCCAATCAACCCTAAGGAGTCTGATCCACTACAGTCAGGGCCAGGCAAATGTCCAGGCAAGTCACACTTGTGACAAGCAGATCAAATATCCTGTCACAGGCAGCACACATTTGGAATACTAAGCCCTCCACCGATAAATTTGGAATCCATCAGATCTAGGTTACAAGCAAGGCTCTACCACTTAAACATTGTGAGGCCTTAGGCATGTCAATTTCTCCAACCCTCAGTTTCTTCACCTGTAAAATGGGGATAATGCTGACATTTACCAATGAATAATAACATTATAAATAACATTTATGAAGTTCCTGGCATAGAGGGGTGTTCATTATAGTAGTTTTGTTTCCTTTGGTGAAACTATCATCCAAAAATGCTTTTGTGTTTCTGGGCTAACTCCATGTAGGATTCTCCAGACAGAACATGAAGGCAGGAGCTTTGTGGCCTCTAGATGGCACCAGAATTCTAGGACCAGAGTCAGAACTCTACTTGGCTCTTGGAAGGAAAAGGGAAGGGTTACTTGCACAGCCTGAGCCTCAGCACGGGAGCAGAGAAGCAGCAAAGTTAAAGCCAGAAAATCCTCTGAGGACATCTAGTCAGACCCCTTTACTTTACGGATGAGGTCGCTGAGCTCAGAGGTTCAAGGATTTGCACAAGTTCACACAGCCAATTAATTGGTCCTCTAACTAGAAATTAGAGTCTGTGATCTTTCTGCTATTCATCTTGTCAGATCCTGGTCCTTAGAAGGTGAGGAAGGGAAAGAAAGAAGGAATCTAGAAAGGACGCATAGAACATTGAGCCTGGTACATAGCATGTGCTCAGTCAATATTTACTGATGGCTGGATAGATAGGTGATGGATGGGTGGATGGATGGGTGGATGAATAGGTTAGATGGGTGACTGGATGGATGGATGGATGGATGGATGGATGGATGGATGGATGGATGGGTTGGAGAATAAACTGATGGACTCCTAATCATGAGGCAAAGAGAAATTGCTATTTTGGTTGTTGTTAGCTGACAGCTGGACAGGAGTGCATGCATTTATCTCATTTAATTCTCTCAACAGCTCTATGAAGTCAGCTCAGATCTACAGTTGCTTATCCAAAACTCTTGGAACCAGATATGATAAATAATTCAGAACTTCTGAGGTTAGAAAAGTAATATTTGGTATATTTATATTATATAACATCCCCAATGGAGATTGGGATGTCACCTTGTAGCCAAATATAGTCATGTTTCTGTAGCAGAATAACTGATCTCTCGTTAGTTCAGGTCAGATTTTTGCTGCCAAATGAGTCTGCACCAAATTTGGGGAAACACTTGCAGCTTGCAGCATTTGGAATTGTAGACAAGGGATCATGGACCAGCACCAGCATTACCCCCACCTCACGGCTGAGGCATCTGAGGCTCAGGGAGGCTAAGGTCACGTGCTTCACTGCGTGGCCCGTGCTTGTTACACAGAACCACTGGAAGGTTTGGGGAGGGGGAGGACAGCCAGAGATACACTTACTTGATATCTTGTTAAGAGGATATAGGGGCCCAGATTGTGGCTGCCCCTCTGGAGTCACAGGTTCCCGAACATCAGCCCTCAATGTAGAGTTCTGGAGATTTCCTGTGAACAGGGAGAAGCAGCTCTAGTACCCGGGATTTCTCGGGGGCCAGGATGCGAGCCAGGCTGGGTCTCAGGTCTAGGCCAGAGCATCTCAGCCGGCCATTTCTCTCTCCCCGCGCCCCCTTCCCATCTGGCTTACCTCCGCAGGCAGGCAGGCTGCAGACCTGGATGGTGTCTGGCTTATCCCCCTCGCACTGCCGGAGACTGTTGGCATTGGTCCGGCACACCACCTGCCGCTGCTGGATGCCCTCTCCGCAGGTGGCAGAGCACTGCCATGGGAGGGTCAGGACCAGGTCAGGCCACAGCAGCCAGGGAGGGACGGGCAGAGAGATGGAGGAAGGGGGCAGTGAACTCCAATCCAGCCAATGCCCAGGACAGAAAGAGTACAGAAAAAAGGGTACCAGGTCTCCGCTTGACCAGAGAGAAAAGCAAGGACTGTTTCTAAATAGCTTCTCTAGGACAGCGCAGCAGTTGTCAAAATACTCCCATCCCGAGTGGTAAATAGCCGCTGCCCTGAGCTTAGAACCCCATGAACCCTTCTACCATCTATTATTGGCTCAGGATCCCATCTGCACTACTGCCTGTGTCCGCTCTGGTCTGTGCCTGGGTCCTTAAATATTTTATGTATGTCCCCAGCAAGCTCCCTGTTATGATCCACCAGCCCTTGGGACCTGGGGCAGGTCTGTTTATTTGATGCTATCTCAGTAACAGGATGTAGGGACCTGGATTGTGGCATCTGCTAAACAGAGAGCTGGGTAACACGGTCACCATGCACCCTTCTAGCTCTGACATTCAGTGACTTTGTGACTAAATTTACCAAAACTCAGCTTGGAGAGGCATGTCTTCTTCCCCGGGAAGAAAAGGTATTGTACAAGGAGGCGAGGACAAATAGATGACAACAGCTTGCAAGGGCTGCCACACACAGCGTCCCCTGAATCTCACACACTTCTGCCTCTGATAAATGGGTGGTGGTGTGGGGGGGTGGGGGCTCCTGGAAAAGCAAGGCTGCCTAATGTGACCAGGTCCCTGGGTTTCAGGCACTGACCACAGCCTCTCCTAGTGGAACAGGGAAGAACTTGCAGAGGTCCACTTCTCATACTGGCCATGCAATGACCCGAGGGAGACAAGACATAGGGTCCAGGGCCACACAGAACCATGGGACAAAGATGGCTCATCCTCTTGGGATGAGTAACTACAAACAACAGCTCTCCAGTGGTTATCAGTCTTATAAGGGGCAACTATCTCCCCCCATCTGTCATGTCTCTGTTAGATTTATCTATGGGTCCTTTGTGGGACCAGCAATCTGTTTTATATTAAAATACATCTATATATTATGGAGAACAACATGAAATCTACATGAGTTGTGTGGGGATTTTGCTTATTTAAAAATACTCTCTATTATGCAATATTTCAAGCATACAGAAAAGCATGAGGAAGCCGGTCAGGAAACCTGTTCGAATACCACCACCCGCTTCAATAAATTCAGCCTTCTGGCATAGCTTCAAATACTGTGTTGTGCCTTTTTAAACTTGAAGTAAATGGTATCTTTCTTCTCATACTTCAGTGCTTTTTCTACCTAAATTTATTTTTTTTCTGAGATTTATCTATGTTGAGTTCAACCTTATTCAATTTTCTTGCTAGATAGTGTTTTATTGTATGAACAGACCATGAGTTTTTGCCTACTCTCCGATAGATGAACCTTTTAGGATACTTTCTAATATTTTGCTATTATGCTAAACAACGCTGTGCTTATCTCCTTGATCAAATGAGGTTTTCTTACCTGTGGCAAAATATACATCACATAAAATTTACCGTTTTAACCATTTTTAAGTGTCCAGTTCAGC